GAACAGTTTCTGTCTCTGAAGAGCTTGCAGGGAAATGGAGGAGACGGCCACAGACGTTTCAGCATAAGAGCAGAAGCGCCCCATGGGTGGGAGCTCCCAGTCAGCACGTGGGGAGAAGGGGAGCTGGTCAGAGAAGGCGAGGGCGCCCTGGCAGGGCAGTTCCTGTACAAAGGTGTGAAGTAGAAGTTAGGGGCCCAAGGAGGGGAATTGGAGGGCAAAGGGGAGGGAAGAGGGCAGGTCTCCCCTACAGGCTTCATGAGGGCTAGGACAAGCTTGTCTTCTTTTTCCCTCCCTCCTTCCTTCCCTCTCTCTTCCTTTCCAGGGTCTACCTATGTCCTGATCCTCATTCCTCAGTCTCTAGGGCAGACCAGGAATCAAACCTGGCCTCCCGCAGGGTCTCCACTTGCATAGCAGTGCCAGCAGGTGCACACGACCACAACCGGGCCGTTAGCTTTCCACCATGCTCCTTGTACCTGGCACAGCGCCTGGGTGTGGTAGGTGTGCAACAAATTGGGATGTCCCCATATGTCCAGGAAACCACGTGGGTGGGGAGCACAGAGGCGTGAGTCTGGACAGGTTGGCTGGGGTCTGATCATGGCTGGGCTGGCTTTACTGCCTTTAAGCTGGTGGGACATAGTTAGATTTGCATTTTTAAAAAATGTATAGTGTTACCACTGGGCCACCATCTGGCCCAGATTTGCATTTTATGGGGACATGGATCTGGAGGCACCCAGCAAATGCTTGCTGTTAAGAATGTTTTGATGGGGCCGGTAGGTGGCATGGTGGTTAAGGTGACAGATTCCCACCTGGCAGATCATGGTTCAAATTCTGGACTTGGTGCTTGCTTCCTCACTCCCACCCCTCCCCACTCTGTTGCTCTGTGGTCAAATTGAAAAAAAAAATTATGATGAATAAAATAAAATAAAAAATAATTTAAAAAAATGTTCTGGCTGCCCCCTGCCTATGTCCCTGCTGAGAGTCTGGAATACAGATGCTGACTCCCTCTTGGACTAACTTCTGCGTCCTTTCTCAGGACTGGCCTGGCATGGCAGGGCCCCCTGTGGCAGAACAAGGAAGCCTGGGAGTGGCAGAGATAGCCCACTGAAGGTGCCACTGCGGTACAGCTGTGGGCTGAGGGCGGATCGGCTGCAGGTGCCAGGCAGACGTCTGGAAGTCCTACTGGCCTCAGACTGTGGTCACTCTAGCAGCCTGAGTTCAGGCCAGGGCTGCCCGAGGAAGCCTGAAGGGCAAGGTGGGAGGACAGACGTTTGGTTTCTGTTGAGAAACCTTAGCCAGCTTTCAGGTATGCACGGAGGAGGCCAAAGGAATTGTTCTAGGAAGGGAGGTGGCCGTTCTGCAGAAGTCCACTCCCATCCCGCAGGCAGATAATCTGAAAAGGCCCTTCTTGCTAAGACTTTCTAGAAACCATTTAATGCCCCCAGGGAGCTCCCAGGAAACGTGCTGGCGAGCTGGTCCCACTTCCCTGTGAACAGGGAGAAGACTGAAGGGCCGGCTGGAGATGGGCCAGGGTGGACTCGGCCTCACTGGGGCTCTGAGGGGAGGTGCCGGCACTCCTGGATCTCTTCTGGCTGATTCTGTGCCCTGCCTGGCAAGACCCCTCAGTTCCCAGCCCTGGTCCCCGCAGGAGTTGGTCCTGGGGCATGGAGGCCGCCCAAGCTGCTGCCCTATACATTGCCGCAGTGCAGGCAGCAACCACTAGACAGACTCCACCGAGCTGCCCCTTGGATTGTCCTCTCGCCTCACACTGTGGGAGCAAAGAGGTGGGCCAGACCTGGCTTCCCCGAGCCACCTCCACTGCCCTGTGAGGGTTCGGAGGCCTCATCTCCCAAGTGGCGTCTTGGTGGGGCAGGCAGTTTGGCAAAACGGAACAACCGTGACACAGGCCTCAGCTTCCCTCCCTGATTTAACCCGCCGGCAAGGACGAAGTTTCGTCGCTGTCCTTCTAACACAGCTGACGGCTCCTTCCCTGTTACCATGAGCAGAAGGAAACTCGCTTTGTTCTGGAGACTGGGGCCTGCCTGCCCGTGCTTTCTGAGAGTTGGGACCAGGCCTCTCTTCTGTTTTCAATCAATGACAAGGCGAAGGCAGGCCCACCTACCCGTCATGTCCTGTCACTGTCTTCAGAAACCTCAGTTTCCCCTTGTGTAACGCTCAGGGTGGCCGATGGAAGGACACGTGTAGCCACCTGAGACCTCAGTGGTCCTGGGACCCACAGCAGTGTTTTCCATCACTGATGGCCTTCCTGGTGCTGGGCACTGTGGCGTCTTCATGCCAATCCCACGAGGCAGTGCCAGTGTTTTGGTTCCATTTTACCCGAGGACACCCTTCTCCAAGGAAGTGACACCATTTGCCCGTCTTCCCCCACCCCCCATGAGGGGCAGAGCTGGGCTTTTAGCACAGCTGCCTGGTGGGGGTGGACCTGATGAGGAAATTCAGAGGGGGGCTCACCACGGAGGGCGCTGCCCGCTGACAACAGTGGTTCCCAAGGAGCGGGTGGCCACCTTGACCAGGAGCCTGCCTGCCCCGGCTCTGCAGTTCAGCACTCAGTGCCAGCCGAGGCTTTTCTTTATTTTATAGAGATTTTTGCCTTAGGGTACCTGTGTTCACTCAGGGGGGAGAGAGACAGAGACAGAGACAGAGACAGTGAGAAGGAAAGTGAGAAATCACCCCCACCTCCCATAGGGGATGGCCATGCTGCAACCCCTTCTCCTCCATTCTCTTGCTGGGATTTTGGGCACACATGCACATGTGCCTGGTGTGTTTCAAGTCACTGGATCTGGGACTTGAACCAAGGTCTCCCATGTGGGAGTTCAGCAATGTAATGGCTACACCATCTGTGGCCCCCCTGTAGCTTTTCTAAGTTACAGAGGGAACCAGCCCTGCCCTGCTCTGGGTCAGTGGGCTCTGAACCTTCCCGCTGGTGCCCCAGGGCCTGCTGTGCTCAGGGTGCAGCTGCGGCTTTTTTTAAGTTTCCTTTCTTTTGTGAGAAAGAGTGAAAACGAGAGGAGAGAACCCCCAGTAAGGTCTGGATGCCACAATCCAGTCAGGCCCGTATCACATACATGCGTTTCACTGCTGTGCCACCATCCGGTCCCAGCTGCGATATTTACCCTGCTTGCCTGGTTAGGACGCTAGGCCAGGGAATGGCCAGGGCCCAGCACAGGGGCACTGTGGTGGAACACGGATTTCCCTCGGGTCACAGCTGGCAGGATCCCGGCACAGTGAGCGGAGAGGGTCAGGTTTCCATTCCTCCGGGCTGTCCTCAGCGCCACTCCTGTTTTGTTTTTTTTTGTTTTTGTTTTTTTTTGAGAGGTTTTTGCTATAGGGTGGGTGCGCTCTCCAGAAAGAGAGACAGAGAGACAGAAAGCGAGAAATCACTCCCTAGGGGGATGGCCACGCCGCAATCCCTTCTCCTCCATTCTCCTCTCGGGATCTTGGGCACGTACACACGTACACGCGCCCGGCGTGAGTTTAAGCCACCGGGTCTGGGACTTGAACTGCGGTTGACTACCTGGGAGTCCAGCGATGCAGCCATTACGCCAACTGCTGGTCCCCTGGCTCTTGATTCATGCGGGCTTGCCCTGGCCGTCCTTATTACAGTCTGAGCAGATTGGGTTTCCCTCTCTCAAAACTGCTAAGGTCTCTTTCTGCTGTCCTTTTACAAATACCGTGTGGCTCTCCTCTACCCTTCAGGCCTTGCCCTTTTGTTTAGATGCTCCTTTATTTTTCCTCCTCAGCTGAAGTTCCTTTCACCAACCTCTGGCCGCTAGTCAGAGAGCGCATGCACCTGCACGAAAGAAATGACAAAATCGTGGGGATCATTTCTGTTGGTAACCGCGTACTGTGTCAAATCGGGGACATCATTGATTCTAAGACACGTACGGCATTGTCCTATGTATTACTGAGCAAGAAAAGCTGCCAATTAAAGCACAATTTCCGCTGTAAGATGCACCTCAACCTCAGAGATGTTAAACTGTACAACAATGTGCATTTAAAATAATTAAAACACAGAATGTAGACATGTTTACAGGTGATCACGGAGGAGCATTTACAGCCATGAAGTAGCAGAAGTAACAGATGACACTCCCAAACCTGCCTTGTGTAATGAGGCTGAGGTATCAACCACCTGTGGCAAAACTCAAGAGTAGCCCTTGCCTGGCAGGTGTCTGGGACATTTCCCAGAATCCTAGCTGGCCGGAACTAGTCCTGTCCAGACCAGCAATCACCTGGGGAATGTTTACGCAAACGTCTTACTGAACCGTATCCCACCTGCAGGATTCAGCTCTCTGGGGATGAGGCCCAGGAATCTCTACTTGCAAAGTTTATTATTTCCTTCGTGCGTGTGTGTGTGTGTGTGTGTGTGTGTGTGTGTGTGAGAGAGAGAGAGAGAGAGAGAGTGAGAGAGGAGAGAAAGAGAAAGAGAGACACTCCCAGCAGAGTCTTCACGCTGTGATGGTCCAGCCTGAGCCAGCCAGGGTCACGGCAGGTGATCGCAAACCTGGGCTTCCCAGTGGTCCGTACTGCGCAGTGCTGTGTAACCAGGGGGCCACCGCTGGCCCCGTCTCTACTTTATACAGTTCTTGTCCCATCCCCATTTACAGTGAAGGTCAAGGTCAGGGAGGGGAGGTGACCAGGGGTCAGGGCAAAACAGATGGGGCATGGCACTGCAGGACTCTTAAGCTTCCACCCAACCCCATTCTGTGCTCTCTGTCCCTCTCCCCTGCCCGTTCCTTCCAGGGGACACACCCACCCAGCAGCTCCAGGGCCTTGCACTCTGCTGTCCAGGCTCTGCCTAGCATGGCCTACATCACGTGGCACCAGCCGGGTACCGGTCCTGGCATCCATCACTGTAACTCAGGTTGGCTGGCACAGGCCTTAGTGGGGACCTGGGTGAGGCAGGGCCACACTCGGGGGACGTTCAGCGAACACTGCAGGCCACCCTCCCTTGGGTGGGCGCTGAGGCGGCTCTCTTTCTGCAGGCCCTCTGGGAGCGGTGCCAGCTTCTGAAGACGGCCTCAACCTTCGCCCGCTGCCACCCCCGAGTAGACCCCGAGGCCTTCGTGGCCCTGTGCGAGAAGACTCTGTGCGCCTGCGCTCAGGGGCCGGAGTGCGCGTGCCCCGCCTTCCTGGAGTACGCCCGCGCCTGCGCGCAGGAGGGGCTGGTGTTGCATGGCTGGCCCGACCACAGCGCCTGCGGTAAGCCCGCCCGCCCGACTGGGCCCGGACCTGCTGGGTCCCCGCTGTGCCCCGACTGTAGTGGCCAGTGCATGAAAGGCCCTGGCCAGGGCGCATTCCGAGCTGGCTCTGTCCTCTGCTGTCTGTCCCAGCCGTGGTGAGGCAGCCGGTCTCCCCCGGCCTCCCGAAGCCCGGGGCCCTGTCCCCGCGTTCCCCGGACCCCCA